GCGCACGAATCGGCTCCGAAGTGATGGGCACCGAAGAAGGCGACGAGACCATCGCCTTCTCCGACTTAGGGCACCACTGCTCATTCCCCTCAGTCGGTGGTGTGTGTGTGTGTGTATCGTGTCGTGTCGTGTCGTGTGTGTGGTTCCATTAATACAACAATACCGGCTAATTGTGATTGTGGTTGTGGTGAAGAATGGCGAGGATGACTTCGGCCTTGGTCGCGCCCCAGCCGAGTTCGGGGGCGATCCCCTGGCTCACGCAGTAGCACTGGAGGACGTCCATCGGGTACTGATCGAGGATGCTGTGGTCGATGGCCAGGTCTAGTAGCTGCGCCCTTATCTCTCTGCTCTCACAGCTGCCCCCCCCCCACACAAAGGCACAACACTCATTTTTACGTGCACCACACACGCCACACACGACACACGACACTCACCACCGCACACGCACGCACACACGTACGCGCACGTACCTCCCGAGTCGAGCGATCTGCCGGACGAGTGAAGTCCTGGGGAGCGCTTCGAAGGAAGGGGTGCGCCAGATGAGGGAGAAGTGGGACAGCAACCGGGTCAGGACCCGTTGGCTCGCGAGGAGGGCCTCATCCAGCGCTTCGATGGTGGTGTACTCCGTAAGCGTCAGGACCACGTTCGGCTCATAACGCCCCGGCGAGGTGCCACCTTTTTCTTGCACCACCACCTTTGCTCCATCACAGCTGCCCTTGGCCTCTGCATCTGCAACCCAATGATCTTGGTCTCCATATCTAACTCGCTCACCATATTGTTGGCCTTGACATCAGCTGCACATTATTGGCAGCCTTCACATTCTTGTTCTTGGCAGCCTTCACATTCTGGTGGCCTTCACATGTAAGTATAAGAAGCAAAATGTTGAGTAGGACCTAGCATGTACCTTCAATGTCATTTGTTGGGCAGCAACACCCCCAGCAATCCAAGCACATCATGTTGGTGTTCATTGTCCTAGTCCTTCCTCTTCACAGCCTTTCAAGCTGTAGGCAAGGATCAAGGTGCTGCAACATGTGAAACTGAGCACACAAGCAGAAGGAGCTACAGCAGCTCTTCACATGTGGTTGGGCTGCAGACCCTTTGGGACTGTGAGGTTGTGGCCTGATCTGTGCACCAGGCGCCTGCTGACAAAGAGTGTGCAGCTGCTCACAAGGCGGCTGCTGAGCAGAAGCATGTAGCAAGGAATGAGAGCAGGGGTATGAATTCACAGTTGATGAATGATGTTGTGCACTTGACCTTGGACTCAGGGTCATCTGTCTTATAATTGTCTGTCTCATCATGCATGGCCTCATTTTTATCCTCTTCCACATTGCTTGGTGGCAGTGGCCTACGAAGCCGACCAGTCGATCTGGAGGAGGGTGACGACGGCCTTGGATTCGGACTTGGTGTTTTCCAACATCACCATTGGGTCATCACTGCACAAACCAAACACTCACTGCCGTCAGTACTGCGTGTGTGCGTGTGTGCGTGTGCGTGTGTGCGTGTGTGCGTGTGTGCGTGTGTGCAGTGGCGCACCTTGGGCATCTGGGAGTCATGGTCAAGGGGACGCGAAAGAGAAGAGTTGGGGCGAGCAAAGCAAGTGAGAGGAGGAGAGGAGAGAAGTGGAATTGTGCGGGGCGTACCTGAGGAGGAGCGGCGAGAAGAGGAGCGCGATATTGGAGGCCGTCATCTTTGTGGCCGGAACGTTGTCGGCATGCGTCAGCGCCTGCAAAAATCGAAGCACGTGCAGCAACACCTGATCGCACACACCACACAACCCTTTTTAGCATTGAACAACGCAATTAAGATGTATTATTAATTATTTATAATTAAAATTAAAATCATAATTATAATCAACTGGTGGTGATGTGCACCTTGTTGTGGACGGGCGGTAGACGGGCGACGAGCTCGCGCAGCTTTGCCTGCTGGTCGCAGTTGTTCAAAAACTCTTGGCTACCCGCGCGCACGGTGCGAAGGAGTGGTGAGCAACTATGAGGCCGTGACGAGGCACGCGGAGAGAGAGGATTGCGTACTAGAGCTCGGGCACGATGACGACGGGCGTGAGCTCGCGGAGCCAGGCCTTGAAGAGCGAGGCGAGGTCGTGCGGGCAGGCGCGCGGGTTGAATGTCAGATCGCCACCCTCGACCTGCGCCCGCAGCCGGCTCACCTCCGCCCCGTCGCCCGAGATCCTGAACAGGCCCTCCGTCTTGAACCCTAGACCCGCACCGCACACGCAGGTGACAAATACGAGCACGACACACGCCGCACACACGACACGTCAGCAAAAGGGCTTTGCAGTGGAAGGGGAAGCGGAGAGGAGAGGCGGTACCGCCGGCGACTTCGATGGCGTCGGTGAGGGCGGGGAGGATGAGGGGAATGTCGGCCGCGGCGGTCTGGGGCGGTGGTGCCTGGACCGGCATCTCCAGCTGCTCCTGCAGGCAACTCCCGAACCACGACTTCTGGAATGGAGCCGCCTGGAGAGTCCACAATTCATATCAGTTACACGACACGACACGACACGACACACGATAGCGAGGGTACCTTGTAGCGAACGATCTCCTGGAGGGTGATGGCCCGGTGGAGGGAGGCGGGCCTGCCCTTCTGCCCCAGCTTTCGCAAACAGTAGTGCGCTATCGCACGTACCTGCAGCAAGTCATCCAAAACCCACGGCACTGTCAGGTCCCAGACCGAGCCGCCTCGCCTCTGATTTGAATACTCTCGTGAGTGCGTACGTTCTCCTCGTTCCAGCCCAGGTAGAAGTTGAGGTAGGCCACCAGATGGACCTCCAGATCCTTCGTCGGATAGCAGATCGCTGTCAAAACCATACACACACACACACACGGGTGAGTGCGCACGCAGGGGCATGAGAGTTGGGCCAACGTTGCGTGGAGAGGTGCGTACAGGAGATGATGGCCAGCAGTTCCCACCCGAGTCCATTGCTCTTTCTGGCCGCCCGTTCAGTTGCGAAAAGAAAACGAAAAAACGAAAAAGAACGAAAGAGAACGAAGAACGAAAGAAAAGCGGTGAGCGGCCACCTGGGCGATGAGCTTCGGGGGAGGGAGAAAGGAGGTACGGTGATGGGTTCTGGGTGGTCTGCTTGCAGATCTGGATGTAGACCTCGTCTCTCAGCTCGGGCACGCGGTCAGCTGCACGTGCACACCAGGATGTGAGCTCGACAGGGCCAAAAACGAAACAAGGCCTCAGTTGGCGCACCCTCTACGGCAATATGCAGCGCGAGCTGGTCACCGCTCCGGTTGCCCGCTTTGACCTCCCGATCGCCCATGTACCGCTGGATGTCTGTCACCGCGGAAGAAGAACGAAGAACGAAGAAACGGACGTGTCAGTGTTCGACATTGTTTGCGCAGCAGAAGAAAGTGAGACGAACTGCGGAACATCTTAATGGCGGCCTTGTGCGTGTCCCGCTTGGCGTGCTTGAGCAGTCCGCCGTTGATGTCCCCCTTTGTGACGAAAAAATGCGAAAGGGCAGAGTTATGCGAGCTGCTCGCTTGACGGAAACGCAAGTGAATGCGTGAGTGAATCGGCGCTGTACCTTGGACCAGACGAGGAGCTCGCGTACGGGCACGGTGCGCTTGAAGAGGCCCTTCTTCACCGTGCGGAAGTAGTGCTGGGCGTAGCCCTCGAGCTGGAACATGTTGATGTCTTTCTTGATGTCGGGCGACAGCGCGGGTCCACCCAGGTCCCTGAATACGCACGACGTCAGGCACATTAACACACACACACACCCACACACACACCACACACACCACACACACA